CCCCACCGCAACTTTTTTTCGCGCTACATTTATATACATATATATATATATATATATATATATATGTAGTTGTTACAGTGTTTCGCCGTTCGACGCTAATGAAAGGCCCCCACACAAAAAAATAGTAGGGGGGACAAAAAAAACAAACAAACAAAGAGAGAAAAAGAGTGATAGAGAGACAGTCCAAGCAGCGGAAGTAAAATTCGTGAGCATGATTTGAATCGTTCTTCTTCCCACAATTCTCCCCTCCACTTTATGCGACTATTTTATTCCCCACTTTTTGTTTTTCATTTTCGGTATGCGTGCCTGCTTTTCACATTCGCATCTACCGCCTTCCCACGAGTAGAGCGGGGGCGAGGCGGCGACGAGAGGGACTCGTCGGGACACCCCCCCAGCAAGCCGAAAAAGTTAACAGCAGCATCACAGAATCAATACGGAGAAATCCAACTCGCCCGCCGAGAAAAAGGCTGAAACGCACTCACGCGCAGAGAACCATCACGGGCAAGCCACCCATTGCCTGCTGATAGAAATAGGCGAAACAACCACAGGAATGGGGGAGATACATACATATATATATATAGAAAGAAAAAAAAGAATAAATAAATATAGATATTTACCTACGTAGGAAGAGGGGGCCAAACGCAAGAACGGGGTGTAGGGTGAAGAGGAAGCCACCGCCTCACAGCGGCTCTTCCTGAGAATAAGATGAAGAAAACAAGGAAAGAAAAACGAACCAGAGGCGAGAAGGAGAAGTAAGCACACTAAAAAAAAACAGGAATGAGCTAACAACATCGCAGAACCACGACTTCAACAAGAACAGTGAGAAAAAAAAAAGCATCTTTCACAGTACAATATTCCTGCCCCAATGTCCTCGTCCTCTTTCCTTGTTTCGTTTGTGCCTCCACCATGTGAATTTTCCCTCATACTTGTTTTATTCACATTGCTTCGATCACTTTCTTCCCACTCTCCCCCTTTCTCTCTCTCGCTCTCTCTCAGCTTCGTTCTCGCACAGACTAGTAGAAGTAGTCGGGGTCAGTTCTGGAGAGAAGCAAGAAACGGAATGAAATCAATTTTCCTGTGCAGAAGAGGGCATTTCATCCCCCGTCTCGGATTCATCCAGCGAGGCTTGAATACTGCTAACTGTTTCGCGCTGACGCGACGACAAAACCTCTACCGTACGATCACGCAGTGACTTGTTAGTAACGTAACCCAACGTCGGTGTTGGTAGGCCAGAGCTGTCCTCTGAAAGAAGCGAGCCTTCCCTCTGAGACGCCTGACGTTCCAGCAGGGCCACGCGTGATTTCGTTTCCTTAAGCTCTTCTTTCAACTTGGACGCTCGTGCACGATCTAGGAAGGCCGCTCGCTGGATGTCGTCCAGTTTTATTGCAAGTTGTGCACAAAGCGCTTCATCTCGTGCCGACACCTGAACTGCGGCGGCGTGCTCGGAAAGAAGACGATTGAGCTGCTTCTCTAGTAAACTGATAGCCACATCAGTTTCGTCTGTAGCGGCATCAAACGCAGGAGAGGTAGTGACGTCACTGCCCGTTTTATCGTCAGCATTCAGTGATGCTGTTTCCACCGGTGTCGGCTCGTTTGCGTTGGCGCTTTCGCCAACGTCAGACCTCTTCCCCTCCTTCTTTTCGTTGAGGGACCCCTCCTTAAGATGACTCAGCTGCGTGGAGAGCACATCCAAGTATCTACGACGCTCCTTCAGTAGCTCACGGTTCGTTTCATTCTTCCTCGTCACCACATCCATTAACTTTTTCTGCAGCTCAAGCATCAACGACTCCTGCTCCCCCATCTGTCCCACCAAGTCGGTTTTCTCGGTCCGAATTTGGGAAATTTGTTTCGTGATTTGCTGGCGAGCAGATTCCTCGCGGCGGATAAGGTCACTAATCCGACGTCTTTGTTGCTCCTCGGACTGAAGACGCCGGAGCAACTGGTTGGCCACCTTGTCCTCCTCGATCTCCGTGTTCTGTTGAAAACGAACGGACTCCTCATAAATGGCGCTTATTTCCGACTGAAGGGAGGCAGACTCCTCATTCAGCAAGGCGTTCATCTTGCGCAGCTGCACGTACTCCTGGCGCAACTCCTCATCCGACATCAAGTGCGGCGGGCGCTCCCTCTCTTGGTGTGGCGTAGTAGGAGAAGCTGTTTTCATATATGTGAGTGCTTATAATAGATTCCTACTTTGATTTTTGGTTTTGGTTTTGTCCCTCAGAGTTGTGTTGTTGTCGTTGGTTTAGTTTTTTTTATCGTCTTGAAAGGAGGCGTGTCACCCCCTCTTTTGCAGCGCTCGCTGAGGTGTGGTGCAAGCCGACTCTGCAGCCTGCTCTCAGCACAGAAGCTAACAAGAGCGAGAAAACAGCATTGGAAGCCAATCCACACAGAAACACACAATGCAACTGCAGCAGAAGCCAAAAGCAGCATGTAGCGTAGGAAACGGTCGCAGAGGAACTGTGAACGAGAGAGCGATAAGAGAGAGAGAGAGAAAAGATCAAGGCAGCGTCAGAAGCGAAGCTTCGTCTGTCGCATGCCCGCGACGCCGCCGCCTCCATTTCCCGTCACCTTTGACATTGTCCGCCCCATCCCCTCCCGAGCGACGCCGCGGCTGGGCTTCGCTTCGGCCCCGGAAGAAGTGGCAGGGGCGACGGCCACCGCCTTTGCGACACTCGCAACTGCCGGCACAGTTGGAACGGCGCCTGTTAAAAAGGAGTAACGGTCAAAGTAATGCACCACACGGGCCACATCCGCGTACGTGACTCTCTTTCGCCTGTGCCGTTCTGCCTCCGCCGCCGCCAGACGTGCCAAGTCCTGCAACATCAACGTCACCGCCTCCCCGGCCACCACAGCCGCGTCCTTTGCCACAATGGAGAAGTCACTGTGGAACTTCAGCAGCTCTCGCACACGCGAGAGCGGGAAGGTGGCCCTATCCATTCTCTGCGTGGCAGCATTGCCTTCGTCGTCGTCACTATCCGCTTCATCAGGCGGCAGCCACTCTGTATCACGTGCAACCTCATCATCCTCCAGTTTTGTCTCTTCTTCACCGTCAGCATCAAAGTTGTCCGCACCATTGTCGTCCTGACCTACAAAGAAAACGCCAGCATCGAAGGTGGCCTCGCCGTCTTCCGTCGCATTCAACTCATGTTGCTCCAGCTGCTGCTGCTGCCTCCCTTTCGTTTCCTCGGTGTCATTCATGTCCTCACGGAGCAGGGCGATGCCCACGTCCTCTCCATACTGCAGCTCCTCCGCTTCGGCGAGGAGATTCGTTGGCTCTTCCTCCTGGGCGTCATGCCCCCCGCTGTAATCTCCCTGCGGCGCCGTGTAACTTCGAGCTTCACCAGCTAAAATGGAGAGCCGCGGGGTGAGAAAAGCCGCATCGTGGCCACCAAACGTGTGCTGCTCCTCCCCCCGCACCTCCTGGTCGCCGTCCTCCATTAATTAATGTTCTATCCGCAGACCAACAATGTGTGGCTTTTGCTTCGACGATATTTCGGCGCCCTTCGCCCTCCTTCGCCAGCGTGCACGGCGGCAGAGCAGGCAACGGTCAAAGCAGAGCTCATGTGAAGGTAGAGAAAAAAGACGAAAAACAAGCGTCAAAAAGAAAATAATAATAATTTCAAGAAAAAAAAGATGAGCGTTACGACACAGTGAGGATAAATTCGGCGGCCGCTGCACACTACACACCACACCTCCGCCAGGGAGGGATACACGCACGCGTGCAGTTGTACATCCCTGCAACTATTTCGCCTTCGCGTGGGGCAAAGCAGGTGATCGGCAGTATTTTTAATTAACTGCATGGCCACACCTGCTGCTGCAGCACTTCCCAAACTAGTACAAAAAGGGCAGAGGTGAACACCGAGGGAGCGAAAAAGCACAAAACACAATAACGTAAAGTAGAAAAAAAAAAAAAAAACAAGAGTAGATGCACGTGTCTGTGTGTGGGGGGGGAGGAGGAGGGGAGACGCCTCACGCGGCACATAGTTTTTTTTCCTTCAGTTAGAAAGCTAAGGGCGCAAAGTGGCGTAAAAAAACAAACAAACAACACTGTAGATTCAACACACACGCGCGAATCTTAGAAATTAAACAAAATAAAAAAATACAAATGGACACAATGACGATTGTGGCGTGCCGGTACCGTCGCGGGGTGTGTGCATAATGTTTCTCGTGTGTCCGCGTGACAACTTCCCAGCCAGCAAGGCACGATACTGAAATTAATAAGTTTACTTTCGAACGCACGCCATCGACCAACCCACAGGAAACAAAAAAAAAACGAGAAAAAAAAAGTGAAGAAATTCCAGGACTTCTACAAACGACAACAACACTACACCGAAAAAAAAAAGTGCGACCGGAAAGGACGCAGAAGGGCAGTCACAGAGGGAACTAAGTGTGCCCCCCAGTTACCCCCCTGCCCACGATCTGCCCTTCCATGGGGCTTAAAGTACAGACACCCAGTTTTGTTTTGCTTTGCTGTTTTTTTTCCTGCTTACTCGCCCTTTTTCTTTTGGGATGTTGAGCGGTTTTCTTTGCTTGTCTGTTTGCCTGGGCGGGGCCTTTCGCTTTTTTTCTTTCTTCATTCCTGGCGTGAGTGACACCCCCTCCGCAAGGGAATCCCAAAGCCGCGGAATAAAAACCAGAAAAATGTTCCTAAAAAAAAAGGATTCTAGCGGAATAAGAACTAAACAACCAGTAAGAAAAGAAGTGATGCAGGGCATTGTCCCTCTGCTTGTTGTTGTTTTTCTTTTATTTCCTTTCCTTTGTATTTTGCTGTATTTTTATCTTTGAAAAGCCTTATATATATATGTTTTCTGCTGATTTTGTTTTGTTCTTCCTTTTCTGCGTCTATTTGTCCAGCACACAACTGCACTTCAGTGACGAGTGTTGTAGGAGCGGCCCACGAGGCCACCCGAGGCGCAGAGGAAACGGTTCCTTGAGCCAATCGTTCATCTCCGCCACCTCCGTGCATACAAAAAGGCAACAAGTAGAAGCTGGGACGAGGAGCGGGGCCAATTGACTCTACCTCTCTCTCTCCCTTTCTCTCTCTCCCAGGCCTCAGTCCGATCATCGTCCCCGGCGAAGCTCCGGTCCCTGCTCCAGTCGGGAATATGAGCAAGATCAGTAGATTAACTGCTTGTTGTCCCAATTCTGTGCTGCTCACGCAGCCAGTTCTCCAAGAGTACCCCCTTTCCCTCCCTGACTGTCAGCTTCGAGGCCGGGTCACGTATCGCACGTGCCCCACGCCCCTCTTCGTCTGTGGAGCCCCATTGACTTTCTCCTGAGGACGTCCCAAAGGTTGGTGGAGCAAACCTGGGAATTGACAACTGGGGGAGGTTGAAACGGTTACAACAACACGCACCAACCGGTGCATCAGCCCCGCTGGCAGAAATTTTTCCAGCATCATTGACAGTTACCACATTCCCGTGCGAAGAAAATCTGCCATCGAGAGATACGCAGCAGCACCGACGTCTTCTCGAGAGGGAAGATGTTTTTTTGCGAAACCCTCCAGGAATCGGATCGCTGTGTATGCCGCAGCTGACACCACATGTGCTCTCAGACTCCTTACCAAGCGTTCCCAATGCGTTGCGCATGATAGAAAGCAAGGAACTTGGCTTCCGCTCTGGCTTATGAGCCCCCATCACAAACTTGAACCTTTTTCTGAACCCTCCGAGGTATCTCCTTCAGTCATGTACGGTGTTACTCGTCGGGAGGTCAAAGACGCGATGGGGGTGACGTGAGAAAAAATTTTTACTTCTTCTCTAAATAAAAAAGAAAAAAAAAAAGACGTCAACTTAAGAGGTGAACTCCACACAAATATGCAGCGTTACAGAGCAACGTATTTGTATGCAGCTCAACGCTTTCCCCGTGCGACTTCAAATGAGAGTGGGGAAATACAGTGCAGCAATTGGTACCATCTCCAGCTTCTCTTGTCTATTCGTGCCGCTTCTCCATAAGCACATGCGGCCAGTGGTGAGGAGATTAGTAATCCTCATCCTCTAGCATAATGGCGAGGAATTCGTCCAGGTTAATCTCTCCGTCCTGATCTGTATCAAACTCATCAATCATGGCCTGTAGCTCTTCATCGGTCATGTTCTCTCCAAGTTCCCTTGCCACGCGGCGCAGCGAACGCAAGGAAATCTTTCCTGTGTTGTTTTCATCAAATAATTGAAAGGCTTTAACCATCTCCTGTCGTGGATCTCGCTGCGCAAACCGCTCCGTCATCAAATCTGTGAAACCGGCTAAGTCCATGAGGGGCTGATTGTGTTGATCGCGCGCAGCACAATCCTGCATCATGCGCAGCACCTCATCCTTCTTAACGTCAAAGCCAAGTGCCCGCATACTTACCTTCATTTCGTGCACATCGATCAACCCGTTCTTATCTGAGTCAAAGAGCTCGAACGCCTCACGAATCTCTTGCCTCTGTTCGTCGGTCAGCTCGAAGCGGCGCTTGCGAGGCAGCGCTGCTGGAACGGCAGTGCGAACAGGAGCCGTCAGGCGACCCCCAGCAGCACGTGTTGTTGACATGCCTGTTTGTTTGCTCTTATGTGTGTTGCGCTCCTTCTCTTTTTTTTTTTTGATTTCCTCCTGCGTCTACGGTCGTAGGCCCTCGAAGCTTCGTTAGCAGTTGTGCGTCGCAACAAACTGTCTGTATCTATGCAGGAAGAAGAAACTATGTATGCGTAGCAGCGGCTCTACAAGGACAGGGAAGACGGTGGAGATATGGCTGAAGACCACTTCAGGCAGCTGGGAGCTATCGCCACCCGTTGCAGTCCAATCTATAAAAGTTCGCAGCCGCCGCGTGGCTCCGCCAGAAGTATTATTGTTGTTATTATTATCTCCTCCTTCTCGCTTCTTTGCTCTGCAGGGAGGAGTCTCGGCTTGGCCCTCGCCCCCGCCTTCTGCCCCCTTCCGCTGGGGTCACTGGTGGCACTTCCTGTGGGTGTCGTCAACGCGACGGTGTTCGCGAATCAAAAAAAAAAGGGGGGAAGGGCAAAAAAGACCACAGAGAGGCCATCACTACGCGACGGAAAAGTCAAAGAAACAAACAAGCGCGACAAAAACAAAAAAAAAAAACGCAGGTCTTCCAGTAACTGACGCGTAGGCGGAATCACACAGCGGAGTTGAATATCGCACACACATGTAAAAAAAAAAAAAACGCTAAAATTGATACTACGCCCTTCCGGTGGGAAGACACAAGAGCGGTGCGAAGACACAAGAGCGGTGCGAGCCGGCACAAGCACGCCCCCCCCCCCACCCCCCATGCTCTCACCTTCCCCTACTCTGCTGCGCATATACTGCACGCGACGAACTCCCACGGAGAAACCCCGCGTGCACGCCCTCACACACCCATGCCCAGTTCCAGTACTACGCCAATAGCTCAAAACCATCGGCCGATGCGCTTCTCTGCAACAGTGCACGGCTCCACGGTGATGGTGTAGCGTGCCGTGTTGTCGGTGTCGTCGGCAACATCACTCAACGTCGCGCGGCGCAGATTTGCCTTGAAAAAAGTTGTCACGAGGAAATCAAAGTAGGTGTCCTCGTCCTTGAGCGTCAGCACATGCTTTGTCTGCTGCAGGTCCACGTAGTCGTAAATCTTCATTTGCCCATTGTACGGGTCAAGACCCAAGTGTTTGTAGAGGTCGAATAACGTGACGCCCGCAGTGAAGGGAAGCACAACTCGCTGCTCCTCGGTGGTATCCTTCCGTACCACGACAAGACGGCGCATTTGCTGCAGAAGAAGAAAGAATCTAGCACGCAAAGGCTCGTCCACGCCAGCAAATTCTAGAACACGACCAGAAAAATGGTCCCTATTAAATGGATCAAGGTACGCCGTCTCCCAGCAATCTGGGTTCATGGCAATCAAAGAAGCGTCGTCCAGTTGAAACTCCTTCACAAGCGAGCGCCGCAGCTTTGGTGGGACGTCTAGCAACTCTAACATTTCATCCAATAGGTGAGTCGCACCGTACTTTATACGCACGCGTGGAAGTGCATTGGGAGGGCGCAGATGGATTGCCTTCCATTTTTCATAGTAGGCACGACTAAAAAGAAGCAGCAATTGGTGCTCCTCCGCGGTGAGAAGGCCGGGATCAAGATACGCGGGGTCCATGTTATGCCACAAAACCTGATCGCAGAGGGCAAAGTATGGGCAACTATCCATCTTTGCACGCACCTGTGGATCATCCCAGAGACTAGACTTGGGTTTGATAAGACCTGAGCCCTCCTGCACTGGCGGCACATAGTTTTGCGTGTCCACACGACCAGCATAAATATTGCCGTAAAATGGAACTCCACCAGTGGAGTGTGATGCGGGGGAGCCAGGAAATGTGAACTTCCTTTCTCCCTCCATCATGAGAAGACGACGCGACTGTCGCATCATCGTCCAATCCAATCCTCTTCTACAGATCACTTGCTTTCCTTTCACTACACCACTATATATACATATATATGTATATATTCTTGAATCCAAGGAACCGTCCCCCTCTACGCCCACGCAGTGCCCCCTTGTGGCTATCCCGTTCTATTCCTTTGTTACTTTTTTTTTTGGCTTTTGATTTGAAATGCGTGGGTGTGGTTGCGTTTCGCTGCTCTGGCGGAGATGTTGTTACTATTGTAGGTGTACTGTACGCGGGCTCCCGCCCCAAGGCGAAGGAAAACAACCGCAGAGTTGCGTGCACACCTCTGTGGGCAACACAAACACTCGCATATATATATATATATCGTGTACGTGCCCCAGGTCTGGGTGTCGTCGCAGTACTCCGGAGTTGCTGCGGTCAATTAAAAGCCAAGCTCCACGGAAGCAAAAAAAAAATAATAATAATAAATAAATAAATAAATAAAAATAACTAAACGAAAAAAAAAAAAAACTTTAGCGCACACACGTGTTCGTGTGCCTCCAGCTCCCAACCACCCCAGCGGAAAGAATTCATCGTTGTAAAATTCCCCAATACGTTTTCGTTTTGCTTTTTGCCCCCCACCGCAACTTTTACCGTCTTACTGCGTAAACCGCAGTCTCTTTTGCCGCGTTTTACCCCATGTTGGTTAATTTACTTTTGCTGGTGGTGTCTAACCCAACTTGCTCTTCCCTGTCTGAGTTGAATTTTGCCTCGGACATCCTTCCGCCGCGGGGAGTCAGCGGAAGGCCTCCGCCTCGTACGCCTCGCGTAGTTGCTGCAGCGTCCTGCTGTGGGCACTGTCCAGCGCCAGCCGTCCGCCGTTAGACAAAATAGCCTCTCTTTGCGGCAGCAGACATCCCACTTTCCCCTTCCCGCACTGCTCGAAGTCGTCCAGAGCGGAAATAAAATTCATTTTACTCTCCTCATCGTAATACATTTGAATCTCCCGCACTGGAAGGACGCCAGGGCTTGTCCCCAACATGGCAATCGCCCTTGCCGTGCAGAGATCGCCAACGTACAGTGGGCGGTGTTCGATGGACGTCAGCCCGGCGGCGGCGGCGGCTCTTTTCACGGCCCGGAGCGTGATGCCAGAAAGGATATCCTTCTCCAGTGAGCAGAGCAGACGACCGTCCTCTGTGACCAGGAGATAATTTGAACGAGAGCCCTCTGGCACAAGGTAGTGCGCGGCCTTATCCCACACCAGCAACACCTCGTACGCGGTGCTGCTCTCCTGGAGTTTCTTCGCACGTAAACGGAGGGGCGCCTGAACAATCTTTGCATTGGGTGTGTGTCGCTGGGCGTTGTACAAGAGCGAAAGTCGGGTCCCCTCTGTATACCATGTCTCCGGAGGAAAGAAGGACTTGACAAAGTACAGCGTATACGGAATGGCACACAACAACTTCTGCCACTCCGCCTCACCGCCCAAGTTGTTAGGGCAGGGCGGTAGCCAGGCCAAAAATTTGAGGTTTATGTCTTCCTTCCCCTCATGCTCGTCACGGATGTAACTGCGGATGTTTTGTGTCACAGCTTCAACAGGAAACGGCAGCTTCGCCGCATCGCTGAGGGGCTTCGAAGAGGCCGCAAACACAGAACTCTCGTAGATGCGATGAACATGATCCCGCTCAAACATGACACTGCCATGGCGCACCCGCATCACGTCGTAAACAAGCTGCCACTCTGTCGCTTCAGCGTCGGAGGCAGCGGCAGGACTTGGCGGGGCGCGGAGGTCGTCCACGGAAAGCACCTCGTGTGAAGTTGGGCCGCAAAACCAAACATTTTTGCCAGCGGCGTCGGAAAGAATCAAGTTCCGCACTGAGGCCGGAATCCGGGAGGAGGCCTCCCCAAGTCCACCCCGCATTGCCGCAAAACGCAACGCGGACGTGATGTTGGCAGCGTCAAGAGTGGAGAGGCGGGTCCAGGGTGTGCGGGGGCGGGGGCGGGGGCGGGTATCAAAGGAACAGGAGCCACAGAAAAGAAAAGAAAAAAAACTGAAGAAAGGAGGAAGGAAGCAGGTGGCATAATAAAGAACAGGAAAATAACTCAGAGGTCAAGACGAGGTCGGAGCAGACGCCTCCACACACAAGTGTTATTGCGCGTATCAGTGGAAAGGGGCAGGGGGCGAAGGAAAGACCAAAGAAACACTCCACTACAAACGACGAAGCCAAGCATCGCCTCACCCATTTCCTCCTCGGATCCAGAAACAACAACAAGAAAAGAAGAAAATAGAAAAATAAAATAAAATAAAAAAAAAGGAAAGAAGAGGA